GGTCCGTCTCAAAAGTATGATACCAAATAACCAGTCTTTCAGGTGTCTTGTTCATTTACTGTCTAAAGATAGTTGACTTACAACTGAGCAGTAAATCCTCCATGACTTCTCTTTTCCTCCTTTCTCCTCCCATCTTAAGTCTTCCATATTCCTCCTCTGCTTTCCCTTTATTTATCAACACTGTCTTCTCCCACAAGTCAAACAGCAAAATCCATTTACAAAGGGAAATAGGATGATCTATCTTTTTAAAACCATGCATTATATTTTCTTACATTATTAATTTTATTTTGACAGGATCCTACATTTTATAAGTTATTCAATAAGTATAATATAAACTAATGTCTTCCTTCTTAATTATAAGACATTATATTTGATCATGATTTATTTAATCACAAAAGGTTTGAAACTTGGCATAATAAAGAAAGCAACTTGATGAATACCAAGTAGATCCTCACTGCCCCACCACCACACAAAACATCAAGTGCAGTAATACCACACAGGGGAAAGAATACATTACTCCTAAAACAGAACAGATACTAAATGCTGTCTTACTTTATTGTTGCATGACTTAGACAAATTGATTACTCTGAGCTCCACTTCCTCACCTGTAACATACATATAACATCACCTACTTTTCAGAGAGGTTGTGAGAAGTAAATAAAATAATGTGCATAAAGTCAGCACAGTGTCTGGTACATTAGGACTTAAATTAAAACTGCAATTGCTATTATCACTAGAATTTCTAGCTAAAAACCCAAAGTAGGCTAAGAATTTCAATCAGCATAACTACTCAAATAAGCTCTAACTTTATTAAATGGTGTTAAGTCACAAGTCAGGCCACTTGTGCAAATTATGTAGTTGCAGAAATGCATGAGCTGTTACGGCTTCAGGCTGTCCTCCTAGGAAACATTTAGAAAAGGTTAATTCAGCTTTTTTCCTCTGGAAACCATCTAACCAAGGCTTTTGGTAGATGTTACATAATACATTATTTTTTAAAGAATGGTGTTATATAAATGACAGTATAAGCAAGCAAATTAAACAATTATTATCATTCTTTTGATCTGAACCAGGAGAATCTATAATCTCTGTAAGAGCAGTCCTGACTAATGCAAATCACAATGAGGCTGGAGACAAAATTACAAAAGGGAAAGTGGTTATCAGTATGGAGAGATGGATGTAAACAAGGGATTTTATTCTTCTCTTTTTCATAACATTATAATAGTTCTAAAAAATATAAAAATAAAATCCAAAACCCAGGCATAAAAATATCACATCCTTAATTGACATTTACTATGATTTTTGAGAATCTAAAACTGCATTCACAAGCAAGACCAAAAAGAAACTCTTCATAGAGTAGCACACACTTACAGAAAAACAGAGTCTAAAAGTAAACTATCTCCCTCAAAACTCTGCTCAGCAACTTCAAATAATGGGAAGATATGTTCCTGGATCGAAGTAATTAGGCCAACTCCTAGGAGACCATGTGACAAGTACAACAGGTTTTAATCCGTCAGCCCTCCCAATCGTCCACATGCCTCAGGACTCTTATCATCCCTTTGCTATTTTCATCGTCTCCAAACTCCCCTGGCATTTAGTGACATAATTTTAATTATCACCTAATGCACAACTTTCAAAACTCAAATTTATCCTTTCCTTTCTACTCTCATTGCCATCATTTTGCTTTAATCCTTTATTCTTTCTCATCTTTTCTACTACAAAAGCCTTTCCTAACTGATCTCCCTATGTCGTCCATCCTCATCCTTCTCCAGTCCATTCTTAACACTGCAACTGGTGTGATTTCTCTCAAACCCAAAACCAACCTGACCGTGTCCTTTCCCAGCTTATCTTCAAGGGTTCTCCATCTCCTAACCCCTTGAGCTGCTTCATTTTTCTTCATTGCATTTATCACCATCTGACACACTATACTATTTGTTTGTTCAGTATCTGCAACCTAACAAGAATGTAAGCCCTTAAGGGCAGTTTTTGTTCACTGCTATTATGATGCATGGTAAGCACTCTATTCACATATGAACAAGTAAATGAATAAGTAAATGAATGAATGGACTGACGACCTACAGACCAAAGGCCTCCATCACCTGTCAATCAGTACCCTCTTTTCACTTTATTCACATCTCTACCAATACTGAATTGTTTACTTACCTAAGTACAATACACACTTTCATGCCCCCTTGCTTTGCCATATGTTGTTACCTTTGCCTGGAATACTAACTCTCCTCACCACCCAATCAACCTGCCACACTATCATCCATATTTTAAAACCTTCACCAGAAAGCTTCTCCTGATCCCCAGATAGAGTATATCACTCTTTTCTTTGTGCTACATCTGAACCTCTATCTACACTGGCTCTTCAAACTGTACTGTAATGTCTATCTCCTTTGCTAGATTGTGAACTTTTTGAGGCCAGGACTATTATTCATCTCTTTACCTCCAGTGCCTAGGATAATACCTGTCATAAAGCAAGTACTCTATACACTGAGAAAATTAACATAGACATAACTGTTATGGATATGAAAGGAATGAAAGCATGAAGTTTCAAGAAGTCACTCCTCTAATTCCATGATTATAACCAGCCATGAGATAAAAGAATTACCAATGACATCATCCAAGGTAAGAAAAGAGGAGTTATACAAATAACAAACATCACTAAACAATTCCAAAATAACTGATACACAGTCACACTCACACTTTGTTAAATATACATGCTGGCTCCTTGCTCCATCATTTGCCTTCCCTTTAGACTGCTGCTGGCAAAATGAGGCCCAGCTAAGCAATAGGAAGTAGAAGGGAGACCTGAGTTCCCCATGAACAATATTTTATGTAGATCACTTTTGGAGGAAGTTTTTTATGTTCCATCTAATACAAGTTTTTGTGTTCCCTCATAATTTGATCCAAACATCCACACGGTTGTACAAGACTAGATTTTACTACTAGCCACACCTAACCCTGAATCAAAGAACAATGTTTTCTACCTGCTGTAATCTATGCCATCAATGAGTTACAGTTATATCTTTAGTCTATGGAGTAGTCACACAGACCAGTCATTTCAGCCATAGGAAGCCTCATCCACATGAATTACCCCAGTCTGCCATACAAACATTACTATTTTTCTCTGAATACTGCAGACCAACATCCCTAGATCCAACCATCAGGAAAATCTGCCCTACCAACTTAGTCCTAAGAGTGTGAACTTGCAGATAACTGTATAGTCACACAGATGCCTACAAAGGAGTAGGCATAAATGTACATGAAGTCATTCAGAAAAATATAAGTTTTTAAATCCAATGACATCTATTATTACATCAAGTGATGCCAGTTGTGATCCTTGGTTCCTTCCTCCCCCCACCACTTGGTAACAAATTATTGAAAATTTATCTCCTGACATTTTTCAAACAGGTTCCCTACTCCCAACATAATGACTTAGTTCAGAATTGCAACATTTCTCATGGGCTAACGGTCTCCTTACTGCTCTCCCTGTTTTTGCACTCAATGAAAATTTTATCTACCATAGGTTGAAGGGGTTATGTAACCAGCATTGCACTAACCTCTTAGTCACTTAACCCTTTATTTTTCAATTCTCACAGTAACACTGCAAAGCAAAAATTACTGTCCCCACTTTCACAGTTGAGGGGACTGAAGCTCTGAGGGGTTAAATGACTTGCCCAAGGTCATGCAGCTAGAATTGTGTAGTGGAAATTCAAACTCTCTAAATTCCCAGCCATTATATACTAAACTACTTAACCTTCTTCCCTACAGTGCCCAAAGTGACCTTTCTAAAAGGTCAAGGTAATCATGTTTTTCCCCACCTAAAACCCTGCAACAAAGCAAGCCTTCAGCAGCCTTCATCCCATCACTCACACCCAGTCCTCCCACACTTAACTCCCAGTAGTTCCCTAATCTGTATCTCATTGCTTACCCTGTGAACACTAATTTTCTGCCAAGAACACTTTTCTCCTTTGTCAGGCTATTTCTAAAAAAATCTGAAGATTTACTCAGACAATCCTTACTCTGAAAATCCTTCACCCTAACGTACCCAAAACTGTTAAAAGGCTTCTATACCTTTTTCATTTCTTCATCTGTAAAATGAGAGACAACTGTATCTACCTCATAATTTGGAGGAGTAAAAGAAATAGATTTAGCACAATCTCAGGCACATTGACAGTACACGTTAAACATTAGCAACTTTTTTTTTCCATTCTCAAAGTTTATCCACCCTGACAAAGCCTCATCTCAGAAAATACATCTCCCAGTAGCTCACATCAGAGCTTAAGCTTTCTCCAAAAAGTCGGAAGTCAACATCTCTTACAAACATCATCAACCACAGACAAGTGTCTTTCAGCTTCTGGTTACGCCAAAGCTCAGTAGCAACCACTACAGACTAAATGGCTGAATAGCGTCTGCAGTTTTCTGCTTCTTTCGGCTTCTTACCCATCCCTCTGATTCCTCCCTGAAAGTCACAAGACCATGCCTCTAAACTAGCGGAAACCTGCCCCACAGAAATCAGTCAGCACCTTCTTCCAGGAGCCACTACTGCCGGCTCGCTCCCAGGCTTGCACGAATTAGAAGAGACCCATCATGTAGTACAAACTTTTATCTTCTCGGAGGACCGTAATAGAACCCCGTCATTTCCCATTCATTCCACGATCTTGGCCCCAGAGTATTAATTCAAGATAGAGAATGAATGCCTGGCCTTAAGAATCCAAGAAAAGGGGTCCCGAACCTTCAAGACTTTTCCAGTAAGAGTTCTCCAGGTCTGTACCTCTCAATAGTGACCAAAATCCACCATTTCCATCCCGCTCCCCCCCTGATAAAGAGTCCAGGTCTCGTCCACTCTCTCTTCGACAGACCGGTGCGCACTTCCAGGGACCGGGATGCCTTCCGCCCACCCGTGTCACCTCCCTTCCCTCCTCGTCGTGCCCCCCAGCAGCACAGGCCGGGCCTGGCTCCTTTCCTCCAGCTCGTTTCATAGAGTCGCTACTCACCGCTTTTTGGGGATGGTGCCTGACTCCTGGGCGGCGGGAGTGGCAGTGGGCGCCGCCGCGGCTTTCCGTGCTTTGCACCCATTGGTACTCAGAGCCTCCTGGGGCCGGCCCAGAAGATGGCCCGAGAGAACCCGCAGCCTCCGCCCGGCGCGATCCCGCTCCGGGTCCCCGTCCCGGTCTGTTGCAGAGCCAGAGCCCGTGCCCACGCCCGTCCTGCCTGCTGCAGGCGTAGCCGCCGCCTCCGCCATGGCTTCCGCCTTGTGCCGCCGCCGGGAACCGCTGGGCTCGGGTGAAAGGTCGCTCAGAGCGGCGCCCGGCGCGACCATTCGCTGCGGCGCATCCCGGCAGCCACCGCGACGCCTGGGCGGCGGGTGCAGTGCGCCTGGAGCTTCACGTTCTCTGCTCCCGCCCACCGCGCCAGCCCGCCCTCCACGGGCACGCCCTGAGGGGGCTCACCTGCCTGGCAGGTGAGTTGAATCTGTCCCGTGATGGCCCTGCCCAGGCTGGGGGGAACCAGGACCCAAACCACAAACTCCCCCGGCGTGTTCTGATACCTTGGGGGTGCCCTCGGGTGTGGTCTGAGCCTCTGGAATAGCTTCAGGGGCAGACGCCCTGGAGCAGTTGGTGCCGGATCGGACAAATTAACCAACCCCATTATTTCCCTAAAGGAGCTGCTACTTCCTCACCCACTCCCTCCTCCCTGCGGGGTCACTAAAGTGACTCAAAACTCTCTTATTTCTTGTAACCATTAGAGCAAATAGCTATCATTTTCTCATCGCTCCCTACGTGCCTGGCACTCTACATAATGCTATATCTCAAGTAAGTAATCTCCATTTTACAGATGAAAATACTGAGGCTGGAGAAACTAATTAGCCCGAGGGCGTGCAGCTAGTAAATGCAAAAGCTGAGTTACAGCCTAGGTTCTCGTTCATTACTGGATGCTGTGCCCTTCTTCACCTTAACAGGAGCAACTTTTTTTATTGCTGCTGGTAAAATTACCCAACAGCTCTTCTTAAGACTTCTCGCTTATCTACAAATTGACTCCACTGCTGGACAATGGCAGTGGTGAAATTAGGGGGATCTCATAGGATAGTGCTCCACTGCCGATTTTAGCCAGTGGATTTGATAGGCTTTTATAAAGCCCCCTTACAGACCTAACCGTCAGAAGTACAGTTCCTTTTGGCATGATATGCAATTCAAAGATAATTATTGGGAATGGTAAGCGAAAGGGTTACCGTAAGCTTTCCGAACCCAATGAAGTCACCTCCTTTCTGAAAAACCACTTTCTAACGCAGGCTCTATGAAAGAGTTAAGACATTACAGCAGTTATTTGACTAATGCAAAATAACTATTTAATAGTTCTGAGAAATTGAGGCAACAGTGTGGAGGATTTGATTTGTATGCTAGATCTTTTGATCTTAAGAAAGAGTTCATCATTAAAGATCCAGTCTAGCTCTGGAATCACTGAACCCAACCCTGTTTAACTGCTGCTTCTATCCTTTGGCTATGTCTGATGAAGGGGGAATGAAGAAAAGGACAGGAGAAGCAGTAAACTGTGGTTGCTGAGTGCTCTTAGGAGAAAGGCTCCTGGAGTTTGAGAGTACAGCCACTCTTGTGGAGTTTTTCACACCCTTTCTAGATGTTACAGGAAGAGCATTAGAAGAACCAACTAGCACATTTGACTGTAATCATGTAAAATTTGTAGATTTCTTGCCAAAATGCTATATAAGCAACAACTTCCTCAGAATCTTTTTGCAATGTACCCAGACTGTTAATTTTTGTTTGACTCCTGGAGAGCTCAGTCTAAAACTACTAGCATGCTTTAAATGTAAATGTAGTTAACTGATTTCTTCAGTCTTGTCCAAATTGAGGTATGGACATGTTTCTTGCCAGCTTTCAGGAGGCAAAATTTATTTTTTATGGATATTAACAGAATAATAAAAAGCCTTTTCTTCCAGGTGAAGGAAATCTTGATGTAAAGCAAAATTGTATCCCAGTGGAAACGCTGCTGATTACCTACATTTCAAACATGTACTGTAATTAAATACATGTAGGCAGTAAAAGCCTTTGTTGAGAACTTATTATACCTAATTCTTTACTATGTTCCATGAGATGCAAAAGTATTTAAGCCAATGCCTCGTCTACAGGGTTCAATTAGATTAATTAGGAGTTAGGCTATACATGAGGAAAAAACTGTGATACTATTGGTAGAATAAGTGTGATGTAGGCAATCCTGGTGAAGTGTTTCCTCTCTCCTCTTACAAAAGCAGAGCACAAGCAGAGTGCCCCTTTTTCCAGCCATTCCTTAGCTCTAAGAGGAACAATGCACAGACAAATGAGATGCTTATGATTCCCACAGAAAGCAAAACTTTAGTGAATATCATGTTCAGGAGGGCCATCTTTTTGAACCTGTTCCTTCTCATGACCTGGGACACTTGGGCCTTAATAACTCAGATCCCAATGGAGAGAAGACTACAAGCTGAGACAAGAGGGTTGAGTCCATGACTTGTGGAATTACATGGTGTGGCTTTTATTTGCATTTACAACATATGAGGCAAAAAAAATCTAAATAGGATAGATTAACTCCTGAAATATGTACCAAATTTTACTGCACTGCTTTTCACTACTTATCTTCAGAGCTGCTGAGTGATCCCTGAATAAAGGAATTCTTGTATTTTTTTACTCTTTTATTATGAAATATAACACAGAGAAGAAAAGTGAACCAAAGCATAAATTGTCACACATCAAACACCCATATAACTTCCATTTTGGTCGAGAAGTAGGACATTCCTAGCACCCCAGAAGTCCCCGTCATGTCCTCTCCCAAACACACCACCTCCCTATCTGCCAGAGGTAACTACTGTGTTGACATTTGTCATATGCATTTCCCTTGTTTTTCTTTATAGTTTAACAATTAAGCCTGCATCCTTTACCTTTTTTGGCACATGTATATTAGGAATCATATAGTATGTTCTTTTATGTCTGTCTTCTTTTACTCAACATTATGAAATTCATCTATGTTGTTGCATTATAGTTGTGGTGCATTCATTTTCTTATCTGTATAGCATTCCATTGGAAGTATGTATATATCAGGGTTTATTCTCCGATTAATGATGTTCAAGTTGTTTCCAGTTTGAGATTACTGTGGATAAGGTTGCTGGAAGCATTCTTTGATAAATCTCTAAGTTGATATATAGATGAATTTCTGTTAAGTACCCATCTAAAAGTGGAATCCTAGACCATCGAGTTTGTGTATGTTTAATAGATAATGAAAATAAATTATACAAAATCTATCCCAGCAGCATATGAGAGTTCCCATTGCTCTAACATGTTATTGTCAGTCTAGTTTTAGCCATTATATATTATTATCTTAATATGACTTTAATTTGCATTTGCCTGATTACTAATGAGATCAAGTGCCTTTTTTGTATATTTGTTGACCATTTGGATATCATCATTTGTGAATATGGAAGAAGATGAATCTCCTATATTGCCTTCTAAAAGCCTAATTGTTTTTTCTTTTACATTTACACCTACAGTTTACCTGAATTTGAGTTTTGTTCATGGTGTAGAGATCACTTTTCTTTTTTTTTCTTCCATTTGAGTACCCAATTGTCTGAGCACCACTCGTTGAAAAGATCTTGTTCTACATTGCCACCTTTGTCATAAATTTAGTGCCCATATAGCCTGAGTCTATTTCTGGGGCTTTGTGTTCTTTCATTGGTTTATGTATCTAACTTAGTATTACACTGTCTTAACTATTGTATATTCTTTTAGATCTTGCACATTCAGTTATATCATTTGTGGATAATAATAGTTTATTTCTTCCTTTCCAGTTATTTGTCTTGCCTTACACAGCTGGCCAGGACATCCAGTACACTGTTGAATGGAAGTTGTGGTAGTGGCACCCTTATCATGTTGCTGATTTCAAAGGGAATCTCTCGACATGTCACCATTGTTTGAAGTGGGTTGCAGGTTTTTTTTAACAAGCCTTTTCACAGATTAAGGAACTCACATTCTAATTCTAGTTTGCTGAGAATTTTTATCATGAGTAGATATTGACTTTTATCATATTTTTTTCTGCATGTATTGAAATGGTCATATGATTTTTCCTTTTTTTTTTTCGCTAATATAGTAAATTGTGTGGATTGGCTTTCCACTGTTCAGCCAACTTTGCAATGCTGACATAAACCCAATCTGGTCATGATGTACTGGCCTTTTTATATGTTACTGAATACAGAGTATTAAAATTTTGTTTCAAGATTTTATATCTACGTTTATAAGTAAGGTCGGTCTATTATTTTCCTTTTTCTAATAGAAACATGTCAGGTTTTTTTGACCTCATTAAATAAGCTAGTGAGTATTCCACATCCCATTTTTCATTCTCAACATTGGTTATTTTACCCAGTCTTTTTTTTAAATCAGTTGTCAGACACCTATCAACTTTATTACTTTTTTTGAAGAGCCAACTTTATTACTTTTTTAAAGAACCAACTTTTTACTTTGTTGATCCTATTACACATATGCTTGCTTTCTTATTAATCTTTGCTAATATTCCTATCATTTCCTATCTTCAACCTTTTTTATTTTCTAATTTCTTGAATGCTTAGCTCATTGATTTCTCAGCCTTTTTGTGTTTGTTTTCCAATATATGTGTTTAGGACTATAAATTTATAAGCAGTTAACTTAAAGTTTTGACAAGAATGTGTTTTATTACTATTGAATTCCAAGTAGCTTCCATATATATGTGACACGAATAATTTGTATTCTCTCATTTTGGAGTACAGTATTCCCCAAATACAAATTTGACCTAAAGGTGGTATCATTCAGATCTTTTATATTATAATTGGTATTTTGTCTCCTTATTTTATCCATTGTAGAAGTATATTAAAATCAACCACTATCATTTTTTTTTGGTATCATTAACCTACAATTACATGAGGAACATTATGTTTACTAGGCTCCCCCCTTCACCAAGTCCCCCTCACAAATCCCATTACAGTCACTGTCCATCAGCATACTAAGATGCTATAAAATCACTACTTGTCTTCTCAGTTGCACAGCCCTCCCCGTGCTCCCCACCACATTTTATACATGCTAATCATAATACCCCCGTTCTTTTTTTTCCCCCCTTATCCCTCCCTTCCCACCCATCCTCCCAGTCCCTTTCCCTTTGGTAACTGTTAGTCCATTCTTGGGTTCTGTGAGTCTGCTGCTGTTTTGCTCCTTCAATTTTTCTTTGTTCTTATACTCCACAGATGAGTGAAATCATTTGGTACTTATCCTTCTCTGCCTGGCTTATTTCACTGAGCATAATACCCTCTAGCTCCATCCGTGTTATTGCAAATGGTAGGATTGTTTTCTTA